CGGTTTGAATCCCTAGTGCCGCGTAACAGGGTGAGCTCCCGTTACTTGTCCCAGCTTCTGCCAACTTAGCACTTCAAAAGCACGTAAAAAATGCAAGTAGAAAAATAGGGACCACCTTTGGTGGGAAGGTAACAGCGTTCTGTGCGCCTTTGGCGTTGAGTCATGCTGGCCACATGACCACGGAGACATCTTTGGACAGCGCTGACTCTTTGGCTTTGAAACGGAGATGAGCACCACCCCCTAGAATCGGGAACGACTAGCACATATGTACGAGGGGAACCTTTACCTTTACACACACACACACACATATATACACATGCATACACATACACATACATACAACCTTGTGATGTGGGCCAGGCTGAGAGTGAGTGAGTGACTGGCCCAACATCATCCAGCTAGCTTTTATGCCTAAGGCGGAACTAGAACTCACTGTCTCCTGGTGATTGGCCCAAAGTCATCCATTCATCCATTCAGACCATTCATTCAGATCAGGGGTGGGTTCTAAATTTTCTTACTACTGGTTCTGTGGACGTGGTTATTTTGTGGGTGTGGCTTGGAGGTCATGTGACTAGGTGGGCGTGGCTAGCTGGTCAGTGTCATTTCTGGAAGGTCCTCGCACTTACGTCCAGTCCTCACACTTACGACCCGACTCATTCGTTTGCTTTTAACACTGATCAGCTGTAGGGCGGCCCTTTGAAGCCCCGCGGCAAGAGTTTAAACAGGTTTTTTCCCTCTAGTCATCAGCTGGGACTCAGGAGGCAGCAATAGATTGGGAGTGGGACCAAATAAAAGGTAAGAATAATGTGGGGGGTGGGGGGGTGGGAGGGCGGGGGATAGGGAGAACCGGTTTGGTGACGTCATATCGTCACTGCTACTGGCTCGGCCGGACCGGACCGAACCGGGAGGAACCCACCACTGATTCAGATCCCAGCTTCTATTTGATGAGCTGTCTATCCAAGGTCAATTTAATAATAGTTCAGGGAAAACAGGGGTTTACAGATAACCCTGGTCTGTTTTCTCATCAGCATCAGATATTCTGGTTGCATTCACAGAATGCTTAACCTAGTGATTGCAGTAACCCATTCTAGCCCAAGCATGGATACTTCCTGTATCCATGGTGTACAGGAAGTCCTTGATTTACAACAGTTTATTTCATGACCATTCGAAGTTACGACATCACTGAAAAAAGTGACTTATGACCGCTTTTCACACTTAACAACCGTTGCGGCATCCCCCTGGTCATGTGATCAAAATCTGGGTGTTTGGCAACTGACTCATATTTATGACGGTTGCAGTGTCCCCGGGTCGTGGGATCACCTTTTGTGATCTTCTGTCAAGCAAAGTCAATGGAGAGTAACCAGATTCACATAACCACGACGTTACTAACTGAACAGCTGCAGTGATTCACTGAACAATGATGGCCAGAAAGGTCGTAAAATTGGGGCAAAATCCACTTTATAACTGTCTTCACTCAGCAATAGAAATTTTGAGCTCAGTTGTGGTCGTAAGTCGAGGACTACCTGTACCTACAGGTAGCCAGTATTGGTCAAGAGCAGCAGCAGTGGTGGGTTCCTCCCAGTTCGGCCCGGTTTGGCCGAGCCGGTAGCAGTGACGATAAGACGTCACCGAACCGGTTCTTCCCCCCATCCCCCAACCCCGGTGTTATTCTTATCTTTTATTTGGCCCCACCACCAAACTATTGCTGCCTCCTGAGTCCCAGCTGATCGGTTAGAAGGAAAATAACTGTTTAAACTCTTGCCGCGGGGCTTCAAAGGGCCACCCTACAGCTGATCAGTGTTAAAAGGCAGTGTGGTGGTAGACCAGTGCCTCCAAAAACAAATGAGTAGACCGGTGCCTTAAATAACAAATGAGTAGACCGGTACAGCTCTGCAAGCAGTTAAAAGCCTAGTAGACCAATACCTCTGCTAAATCCTAAAGAATTGTCACATGACCATCAAGCCACGCCCGCAAAATAAGCCATGCCCACAAAATAAACCACACCCACAGAACCGGTAGTAAAAATTTTAGAACCCACCCCTGAGCAAAGAATCAGCTGTTAACCATCATCCCAAAGTAGTTAACAGAAAGGAGAAAGTGTCCGTATGGAGGGAGAGCAAGTATGCAGGCTCCATTATCCTAGACAATGTGCACGGTGATCCACTCTACATAACCCCAAAAAGTCTTTTTCTGTATCTGTCTTATAAAGAGATATATGGTGATGAAGTCTATGTCATTAACAATAACTTAAGTATGTTATCTTTTCGTCCACAGTTTCCCCGTGGTTTATTAATGGTATAACACATTAATTCTCCTTACAAGAGTGACCTTTACAACTCCAGTCATCCTCACAGCTATTATCCAATTACATTATCACTCATTACAGGTACAGCCTTTCAAAATCTGCATTTCAGTGAAAGGGGAGGATGAAAATGGCAAGGATTCTAAATGCCGGGGGTGGGGGGTGGGGGGAGGCAAGGAAGTCGGAAAGGAGAAAATGGTTGTTGTGGCCCGCCGGTGGCCAGCAGAGCTGGCAGCAGATTCGGACAGTGAGGAGGTTGGGGAGGAACATGAGCCAGTCCTGGAGTCTGGGGAAGGTTCTGATGAGGGCTCTGCGTCGGAGGCAGAGAGGGGGCCAGGGCCGTCTGATAGTTGTCAGCTGCCTTCGGAGTCAGACATCAGTGGGGCAGAAGAACAGATGGAGCCTGTTCCCAGTGTGCACATGTGCAGAGCTGCCAGAAGGGAACAGCTAAGGAACAAGGGTCGACTCAGGAGTAAAGCCACAGGTGGATGGTAAATGGCCCCTCCCATAGGGAATAAAGAGGAGCGAAGGGGAGGGGAGTTTGCAGGAGACAATTAGTTCACCTAATTGGTTTGTGACTCTCCGAGGCTCTTTGCCAAGTTTTGAAGATATCGGCCTGGCAGCTCTCCAAGCCAGAGAAGGTCTGTGACTGTAAATTCTCCCTTGAAAGACTTTGCTGAAGGTGAAGGAGAGGAATTCACTGTTTGTTTAATAAAAGGGGTTTTGTTGGGACCAGGATTCTGCTTCGCCTAGGTCAGAACAATGGTATCTAGAAAATGACGAAGCTGCTTAGAGTACTTTGGGTGTGGAAGATCCAGGTGGGTCCTCCCATTCATTCTTGGAAGCCATGGGGATCAGGGGATGTTGGCCTTGATGATAGTGGGACTGCCTCTGAGGGCCATTTTGTGGGAGACTAGATGTTTATCTTGTGTTGTTGGTTGGTCACTGTGGGAACTAGATTTTTCGATTAGATGGGCCAGGGGTCAAATCCAGGAAGTAAGTTTTGCTTATGTTCTTATCCTTTAGAGCAGGGGTCCTCAAACTTTTTAAACAGGGGGCCAATTCATGATCCCTCAGACTGTTGGGGGAGGGGCGGACCAGCTGGATGGGTGGGGCTAGTTGGTCATGTGACTGAGTGGGCATGGCTAGCTGGTCATGTGACTAGGTGGCTATGATCAATTTAACAGTCCATTAAACAAGGCACACAAATTAAACTTTAGTTGTTTGGCCTCCTTGGGCATCTGTGTGCCCCATTTTTCATCTCCCCTGACTCCAGAACATCTCTGCAGACCAAAATTGTTGGCCTTACCTTTCAGTTCAAGCCCACGGGGCTCACGAAGGTAAGTCCTGAGCTTGGCCGAAGGGTGGGGGGGCATGCGGGCAGGGCAGCCTCGTGGTCCTATAAGGGCTTCGGAGGGGCGCATGTGGCCATAGTTTGAGGACCCATGCTTTAGAGCAGGGGTGTCAAAATGGATTTCATTCAGGGCCACATCAGGGTTGTGTTTGTCCTCAGGGGTTCAGGAGGGGGGCATGGCCAGGTGGACGTGGTCAGCTCAATGTCACTTGTGTTGGAGGTGCCTGTGGCATGGGGAATGGGGATTTTGCAGTATCCTTCCCCTGGAGTGGGGTGGGAATGGAGATTTTGCAATACCCTTCCCCTGCCATGCCCACCAAGCCATGCCCACCAAGCCACACCACGCCCACCAAGCCACGCCCACAGAACCGGTAGTAAAATAAATTGGATTTCACCACTGCATGTTACTAATTTAATAAGAGCAGTGATTCACTTAACAGCTGTGGCAAGAAAGGGTGTAAAATGGGCCGACATTCACTTAATAAATTATTTTGAGTTCACTTGTGGTCTTAAGTCGAGGACTATCTGTAATAATATCAATCTTGATACATTGTGTTGTTTCAATACATTTATATTTGTATAATACATCTGAAAATTAGATCTTCTATTAGATGGCTTAGAATATTGAGAACAGGAAAGAGAGAAAGAAAAATGTTCTATTAATGTTAATTTACAATTTAGGATGTCAATAAGTAAAGGTAAAGGTTCCCCTCGCACATATGTGCTAGTCGTTCCCAACTCTAGGGGGCGGTGCTCATCTCCGTCTCAAAGCCGAAGAGCCAGTGCTGTCCGAAGACGTCTCCATGGTCATGTGGCCGGCATGACTCAACACCAAAGGCACACGGAACGCTGTTACCTTCCCAGCAAAGGTGGTCCCTATTATTCTACTTGCATTTTTTACGTGCTTTCAAACTGCTAGGTTGGCAGAAGCTGGGACAAGTAACGGGAACTCACCCCGTTACGTGGCACTAGGGATTCGAACCGCTGAGCTGCCGACCTTTCGATCGACAAGCTCAGCGTCTTAGCCACCGAGCCATCACGTCCCTTATAGGATGTCGATATTACAAGCATAAATTTATTTGGCTTTTACATGCAAAGTTGACTATAATGTTGACCAAGAGCCACCACAACTCACATCAACAATTGTCTTGTTGAATAGAGGTTATATTCTAGAGGAGTTATGAATGGCAAGGAGGAGATTGGAAGATCTGTAGGAAACAAATGGTTCCCTTAATCAAACTTACCTCTTTGCAAACCCTTGAAAAATGGCTCAGATATTTGTGATCCAATCACAGGCCCAGAGGCTATGGAATGGCTGACTTCAAGCAAAATAGATCTTCTTACCTATTGTGTTGACTCTGGCTGATGGACTAGCTAACGTTGCTGGCACCGAAGATTTCAATGAGCTGCACCCGCTGTTTATTCTCAATGATGGCATGTGAGGAGAAGTCGGTGACGAGGGGGACTTGCTGTCATTTGTCTTGGGCTTTGCTGAGAGATTCAACGGCTGAGCCACGTCATCCTAAAATGGAAATAAGAAGACCAAGCCATAAGTCACACTGTAAGGTTGTTGATTCGGCCACCACTAATGGCAGCTCGGGTCAACTTGGATGTCAAACATAATTCCACTCTCTGTATTTATGAGAATCTTTCGTCCCTCTAAATCAGGGGTCTCCGCTGCTGGCTGAGGAATTCTGGGAGTTGAAGTCCACAAGTTGTAAAGTTGCCAAGGTTGGAGACCCCTGCTCTAAATTATGCATGGTTTGGTCTGTCCCTTTGCAATTGAGTTTCTGTAAAAATCCACAAAGTTGGGAGAAGGGAAGGAACTTTAGTTTGAAAGTAGCTGGGAAGGAGAATTTGTCAGAGTTTCTTGCAAAAATCAAATCCAGAAGCACATGCAGATAACTTAATCAGATGGATTCATTAACTTCTTTATATACAAGAATATCTATCTATCTATCTATCTATCTATCTATCTATCTATCTATCTATCTATCTATCTATCTATCTATCTACACACACACACACACATATATACACACACACACACAATACCAACAGTTGAGAACAGTTTCATTTCAGCTCAGATCAGCAGACAAGTTTACACACACAGTACAGCAGAGAGACTAGTTTCACTTTAGCTCTGAACAGACTCAGAAGCTGCAGACTAACAGTCTGGCTCCAGTCTGGCTCAGCTCCCAATTGGCTGACTTTGTTACCATGTCCTATTCCAGTTGATGAACATACTCTGACAGAATTGTCTTTAAAATGATTAATCTTCTGCATGTGTTTGCTCTCTAGGCTGTGAAAACCTCTGCACCTTGCATCATTTTTTCCTACACCTAACAGATGAATATGTCCCTGTGTGTGTTTATAAAAGTAAAATAAAGGAGTCTCTGCAGATTTTATTCTACTAGTTGTTGATGCCTATAGGAGTGGTGCTCATCTCTGTTTCAAGGCCATTGAGCCAGCATTGTTAGAAGACATTTCTGAGGTCATAGTACTCTGTTACTTTCCCACCGAAGTGGTACCTATTTATCTACTCGCACTTGCATGCTTTCAAACTGCTAGGTTGGCAGCTGCTGGGACGAGGATGGGAGCTCACCCAGTCGTATGGAGCTCAGGTCTTGAACCTTGGCTACTGGCTTTCCAGCCGAGAAGCCCAGTGCCACAGGCACCATGCCGCCCCATATCCACACCTAAATGTAGTCCTCAAGTTACAACCATAACTGAACCCTGCATTTATGGTCGTAAGTCGTGATAGCTGTAAATGGGTCACAATGAAAGCAGACCAAATTTTAAAACCTATCTTGCAGCGGTTATTACATGAACACTGCGGTTTATTTATATATTTAGTGCAGGGGTCTCCAACCTTGGCAAATTTAAGCCTTGGTGAACTTTTAACTCTCAGAATTGGGAGAATTGGGAGCTTTGCTGGCTGGGTAATTCTGGGAGTTGAAGTCCACCAGGCTTAAAGTTGGCAAGGTTGGAGACCCCTGATTTAGTGTATGGCCAATGCTGCATTTGAAACAAACACTGCAAGTTGTTAAGTCAACGTGTGATCGTGAAGCGAACTAATTATTTGCCATGGGGCATTTTTTTTGCCGGAATTTAGATGAAAATGCTGGCTTCCGGCAAAAATGTTTTATTTGTCACCTCTATTTACCACCTGCCTCCCACGTGAATTCAAATTCTGCTATTGCTTTTGGCTCCTGTCTTGAACTGAACTCAATCCCAACTTCAAAGCCGGGGCAACGGGAAGGGAAGCAAAAGACTCAGAATTGTTTAAAGATGTAAAGCCGCTGCATTTCAGGTGCAGGGAGGAATTTCTGATTAGACAACAACAACAACAACAACAAATGGAGCCGGACAATGGTATGTGTAAATAGCTGCATTTCACAGAGGGCTGTGAAAATATTTATAGACCCCTCACATCCTGGACATAAACTGTTTCATCTCCTATCCTCAAAACGACGCTATAGAGCACTGCACACCAGAACATCTAGACACAAGGACAGTTTTTCCCAAACGCCATCACTCTGCTAAACAAATAATTCCCTCAACACTGTCAAACTATTCACTAAGTCTGCACTATTATCAATCTTCTCATTGTTCCCACCACCCATCTCCTTCCACTTATGACTGTATGACTGTAGCTTGTTGCTGTATTCTTATGATTTATATTGATTGTTTCCTAGTATGATTTGATTGCTTATTTGTACCCTATGCCTACAGTGTTTACCCGAAAATAAGACCCTGTCTTGTATTTTTTTGAACCCTGAAATAAGCACTTGGCCTTATTGCCATGCGCTCAAAAGCCCAATTGGGCTTATTATCAGGGATGTCTTATTTTGGGGGAAACAGGGTATCATTAAGTGTTGTACCTTATGATTCTTGACAAATGTATCTTTTCTTTTATGTACACTGAGAGCTTAATGCAGATTGTGTGTCCAATCACACTTGGCCAATAAAAAATTCTATTCTATTCCATTCCATTCCATTCTATGCACCAAGACAAATTCCTTGTGTTTTCAATCACACTTGGCCAATAAAAGATTCTATTCTATTCTATTCTATTCTATTCTATTCTATTCTATTCTATTCTATTCTATTCTATTCTATTCTATTCTATTCTATTCTATTCTATGCACCAAGACAAATTCCTTGTGTGTCCAATCACACTTGGCCAATAAAGAATTCTATTCTATTCTATTCTATTCTAAGAGTAAAAAGAGAGAAAAATAAATAAAATATAAAAATAACAATTAAAAAACAATCAATAAATTAATTAAAAAAACAAAAAACAAACAAAGAAACTCAAAGGACGGACTTGAGGGATCTCAAGGTCTTTTCTTTTCTTTTCTTTTCTTTTTGCCATCAGTTTTCTACGTTTCTATGAAAAGGGTTTGGGAAGATGAATTGTTACCACTTTGGAAGCATCGTCAACTGTTGCTCTTAACCCCTCTTTGCTAGAGAGGGAGAGAGTTCACAATTAATTATGAGAGTCTTTTTTTGATTGTGGCGGTTTGGAAGACTAACCAATAAACGCATAAATAAAGCAGTGTCTCCACTATGCTTTTACAAGGTCCCAGCTTTTGTTTATTTATTTGGGGCGATATAACCTCAGAGCCAAGCATGCCTGTGTGCTTGTCAAAATAAATGAGCATAATATAAGCCAGCACCAATCTTGATTATTAGGGTGAGAAGATGCTCAACGCACATTAAAGTTGGTGTTGCCTACATTCGCTGAATTTCTGTGTTCTGCAGCTTGCTCTGTTGCATATATCAAAAGCTAATGATCTCATCTGTGAAGAAGGAACATCGCAAACTATAGGGAGGGAAGGGGACACAATTACTGCAAAAAACATTAGTGTTGCTTTGTTAGGAGGGGGTTTATAATAATTAGGTAGACGCCACTTCCTCCCCCCCCCCCGCCTTACCGGTACAAAAGAAAGCCATCATTTTGAAAAACTATCATGTTAGTCTTTTGTGCTTCATCAGAGTTTGGTTTTAAGGGCATACCCTGGATATGAGTGCTGAAAATTCATTCTCAACTTCATGGCCAAAATTTTAATTTCCCTCCTATAGGGCTGAAAGTACTATCAATCTGATGATATGATAGAGGAGGAACACAGGAGCGGGCTTTAGATCCTTTAGTAACAGGTTTGCTGCCCCATTGCTGGGTGGGCGTGGCCATGGTGGGTGTGGCCTAGTCGGCCGCCTGCACCATGGCAGGGGAAGCATTTTTCACCCTCCCCAGGCTCCGGAGGCTTTTCTCGAGCCTCTGGGAGGGCGAAAACTGCTTCCCCTGGAGTCCGGAGGCCCTTTGGAGGCAGGAAACAGGCCCGTTTCTGGACTTCCGGGAGGCACGTTTTTTGCCCTCTCAGACCCTCTGCGCAGCCCCTGCACTTACCTGGAATGATGAAGGAGCCGCGTGGAGACTCCTGGGAGGGGCGGGGTGGGAGGGGCGGGGCAGGGTTATAAAAAAATAAAATGAATAAAAAAAATAAAATCTGAGCAGAGACCTGATGAACCGGTTTAGTACTGTCTCAGCAACCATGAGAAAACACTGACTCAAAGGCAATCATCACTAGCACTGATGATGTTACCTGGTTGGGTAATGAAACGTCTTCAAGAAAACAACCACGCCCAGAGAACCAGGGGTGGGCTGCTGGGGGTTCACAGGGGTTCGGGAGAACCTCTAGCTAAGATTCTGTGGCGTTTGAAGAACCCCCAAATCCCACTCCTAGCTGGCCCCGCCCACACCTCCCCTCCCAGGAGTCCCCCTGCAGTCTGTTTTGGATGCAGATAAATGCAGGGCGCGCATGGAGGTTCGGGGTGGGTGAAAAATGGGTCTACCGGAAGTCCGGGAAGGCCAGAAATGGGCCCATTTCTGGCCTCCGGAGCCTGGGGAGGCCGTTTTCGCCCTCCCGGAGGTTCAAGGAAAGCAAACCCCGCCCCCCATGGTGTAGGAGGCCGACTAGGCCATGCCCACCATGGCCACGCCCACCCAGCAACCAGGCAGAGAACCCCTTGCTAAAATTTTTGAAGCCCACCTCTGCAGAGAGCACCAAGGACAAATATTCTCCTTTATTGGTATCACAGAGAATCATCTAGTCACACTGGCATAAGTAGTACATTGTGGGGAATGTGAAGTCTTTTTTTTTTAAATTTCCAAATGTCTTTACATCCCCCACCCAAAAAAAAAAAAAAAAATCCAAGGAGAATTATCAGTTATGAAATAAGCAACAATATCAATCATTCACAATTAGAGAAAAATGTGAGAAAGGTTGAGCTTTTGACATCTTTGGCCTTTGTGTAAAATGCACAAGGGGCCGTTCATGAACCATTCATCAAAAGAGAAGTTCCCATAATAATACCTGAGATCAAGAAAGGCCACTTGATGGATGAAAGAAACAGAATGAAATAAAAGACAACTCAATATCCCTAAATCTAGCTTTGTAAACTGAGTTTCTCTTAATATTTGAGGCCAATTTCTCCAAAGGGTACATATACATATTC